AATATAGGTATGCCAAGATAATAGTGTCATTGAGTTCTCCAGGGTTGTCCGGTAATACATATGTGTTATTTAAAGGAAGATATTCTAAGGATTTCAAATCCCGTCCGTATATTTTAAGTGATTTCACTGTCCCAACGATTTCTTTTTTCTTTTGGTAATATCTAGTGCGTCATAGGGTGAAATATATTTGTGTTCTTGCTGTTTTTCATTTTCAGCTGTACGTCCGTCGTCAATATTTGTATCGTGAATTTCAATCTTGTGTTCGTTGTCGTTTTGCACTCCGTCTTCGCTTTGTATGTTGTTTACACTGTCGAAACCACTTTTATTGTTAGAGAATTCACTTTTGAAATCGGTATACTTGCTTGCGTCCTCGATCTCCGCTGAGTGTACAGTGTTTTTGTCTTTTTCTCCATCAACTCTAACATAAAACAGCATGTGTACTTCTCTTGTGACTATTCTTTTAGACAAGTATGCAAGGTTTTTATGTTCGACCGTTTCGTCATCAAAAAGTACTACAGTATCATTGTCAGGGAAAATTTGTAGGGCAACATAATGACCTGAACTCAACGCCTGTCCTTTGTGGAGTTTTACAGCTGCAAATTTGTATTCAGTGGGTGGAGAGCCCTCGTGCTTCAACTTTGATACATCGATTGTGATGTCCAATGTCAATGGAGAATGATCTTTAGTGTTTGCGGTGACATCATTACGTTTTAGTACACAGACAAAGTTCTGGGGGCAGGTTTTAAAAAAGCCCTGTCGTGTTTAACAAGTTTTTTGACGACAAATCTCACATTCTAATTTGTTGTCATCGATAAGAACTTCTTCCTTGAAATATTCAAAGAGGCAGTCCTTTACTGAAGATGTCATTCCGTTTCTGGGGAGCTCCACAGCAAGTGAATGAAATAAATCCTCTTCACTTTTCTCTTGAATTTCCACAAGTGCAACAGGAATTCTTGTATTGCACTGCGCCCCAAAACGTAGAAAAAAAAGAAATGGGTGTTCCACCAAGGTCGAAAGAGCAGATTTCCATAATTTTGGAGAAAGCTTCATGAACATCGTGTTGCTTACCAATCTTAGGACCTTTTTTGTGTAACTGCTTGAGTAAATCAGTGGGATTCAATGGCCTTGTATAATCTGCACTTTCCTTAAGTATTGTAAAAATCAAGGCAAAGTAATTGAACATCATTGGAAATAGTGGTTTTGCGTCCTCTGTTGTAATATCACCTAAAGTGGTAACTGAGAAAGATTGCAACAAAGCGTTCAACCAACAGTTGTTGTGTTTGTTTTTCATTCCTGTTGAAAAAATAGGACAACTTGGGCTGGTAGATGGTGGCGTTCTTTTTCCCTTTCGCATTCTGGATTTGGGAGAACCAGTAATTATGTCATTCATATCATAGCTATCTTTTTCCTCGGCAATGAGTCGCTTCCACTTTTTTGAAGCTATTTTAGAGACTGCTGGGAGATCTTTACCTTTGTTTGAAAATGATTTAAAATTCTTGGTCAAATAGTTTGAGTACGCTGAAGATGGTTTTTTTATTGGTTTCATAGTTGTTGTCGTTGACTTGTTTGAATTTCTAGAAGTGTTGTTGGTTAAATTTACTTTATGTCGCCATATAAACGGCACCTAGCTTGAATAAACGTTTTTTGAAGAGACACAAATTCATCGACGCGGAGATGGTGTTTTCCATCGAAGTCGTCTGTTTTCACTAACTTCATGTAGTTCTCGATCGTACCTTGGGTTGTTACTTCTTTTGAATTTTTTTTAGATTGGAATCTTGATTTTGAAATTTTACAGAGGAAACAATTACTCCACAAAGGTGCAATTGGGAGAAGACGCTTTAAGTATTCCATGAACTCTGGTGAATARCATCGGTTTTCGTCTTTTCCCATGACAAGAGTACTGGAACGTTCTTCCATGCTGACAGTTATCTCAAACAGCTTCTTTGCAAATGGACCTTTAGCATCAGGTTTTGTAAAAGACTCGTCCATGTTAGCACAGTCATCTGTGCATTTGTGTTCTATCTGAGGTTCCTCTTTGTTTAATTTCTCAATTTTTTGTTGAATTCGTGTATATGCTTTTTGAACTTATGGACAGTTGTGGGAGGTCAGAAAGAGAAGGGATATGTCTTCAAGAATCTGTTGGAACTCATCAAATGTACAGGCATTTACAAGAATAGATATTGAGTACAGCAAGAAAGAATACCAACATTTGCTATTAGTTTTACATATTTTTTTGCAGATGGTGCTTGCGTTGTTCATCAAATGCCTACAACAGATATGAGGTGTCATTAAGGTAAAATCCTTCTCACTTCCTTTGCCGTGAACTATTCGCCAAGCTCGCTCCAGGTACGATAGCACAGTTTCTTTATTAAATTCCTGGAGGCATGCTAGTAGTATGGCTTTTCCCTGATCACTGACTATTTGCATTGGCGTTAGAACATTGTTGTGACCAAACACAAGCCCCTCAGCGTACCTAAAGGATTGCAAGAATTGTTGAATAGTGGGCACGTTGTGACGGTCGCTATCACTTCTGCAACTGGTAAAGATGGTTTTTCGGCAACAGGGCTGGGAACGACCAACGTGTAGAACAAAACTCGATTGTCATCCCAATTGGATATGATGGTACCTGTAGCGTCAAGAATTGCCACCATGTTGCGGCAGGTGTCGTGCCAAAGGCGAATCTGTCCTTCGGTCCAAAGATGAATGACAAGTGGAGAGGCAGCTATATATTGCACATATCCGTTTATTTTAAGCAAAATCCTTCGTTAATGAATGCCTTGCGCATTGAGTCCAATGACACAATGGCATTGTCGTTCAGTCTCAACGAACGCCTAGCTTCTCTAGCAATTTGCTGAACAACATTAACACTTGTACCTGCACCTGACCAATTACCAGCACTAAATGACGAATTCTTAATGTTGTCTACTTTTTCATTGTGAGCAGTGGAGGGTTTTTCAGATGTTTTTTTTAAATGTTGAACCATTTCTTGCCTTGTTTCGCCGTTGATGGGACGAGCCTTTCTAATGCTCAGGTCGTGCTTCACATCGCCGTTAAAAGTAATATGCAAAATACGCAGCCTCTCTTCACTGCATAACGTGAAAACTTTAAATTGGAGAGGGCAGGTTTTGAAAGCACAGCGGCCACTTGCAATAAATGAATAACTGGCAGTGCCCTGTCGACTAGAAAATCGCTTAGCTTTGTGCCCTTTAAATACAAAAGGGCAGTATGGGTTGAGTTTGTTCAGATATTTGTAAACGATATCAGTCCATCCTTTGGCCAGATGCGTTCGGCGAGAACGAGATGGTTTGATCTTATCCCAATCAAATGATTCCATAACGGATGTGGAGTTATTGGAGACCGATGCAGTGAAAAACACCCTGTCTGTTATAGTAATAGAACGAGTAAGTCTGGAAACAGTCTCTATTGTGATGTCGTCCTTAATAAGAAAATAAAAAGTTATTATCAGAAACGTGGTCTAAAGAAAGGGTACCTTTAAAAATTAACTACCGCYAATGTGTTGTGTTTTTGCACTTTCACGGCCTTGTAACAACAAGTATTTCACTGATATTCGAAATATTGTGCATGCGTAAGCAATCAAATGCTTTGGAGTATATTAACTT